GGAGGTTGCGGTGAGCCGAGATCGCGCCATTGCACTCCAGCCTGGGTAACAAGAGCGAAACTCCGTCTCAAAAAAAAAATAATAATAATAATAAAAAAACAGCACTGAATCATCTAAAAAAATAACCACCTCCCTCAATTATGGTTTGATCAGTCCTGACAATTGGATAAAAAAATAGAAATGCTAAAGACTATTTGAATATGGTTTTATATAAATGTCACTTTAAGTGTACATTGAATTTTGAGAATCATCTGATATATATAATTCATATGTAGTACATACATAAATTATAAGCATATATTTGAAATGTTTGAATTTTATTTTTAAAAATTCCTTGGTAATATTTATGTAAAATAACATCCTCTCACAACTGAGGGTTGGATAGTGGTCAAACTATCATTGCATTTAGCACAACAAAGACACCGATAAAAGATAGAGTTCATCCTCGTTATTCTGATTCTTTCTTTGCAAATTTACCTACTTGCTAAAATTTGTAATGACAAAACCAGCATTTGAGGTCTTTTAGCAGTTGCTCACAGACAGACACAGAGCAGAGCAAATTTTGAGTTGCCCATTGCACACGTTCACAGCTTCGTAACCGAGGTAGCATGTTCCCAGATGGGGTCAAACAAGGTGATGCTCTGCTTTCTCGTTTCTGCTCTTGTGCTGTAAAAAGTATCCTTTTCGTGGTCTATTTTGTGCTAACTTTCTTGCATTTCTGTTGGAGAATTTGGTGTGTAAAATGGCTCCCAAATGTAAAGGGCTATTTGGTGTTGGCTTAATTCCTGGGTGTGAAACCCATGGATACAGGGATACAGTGGGCCAACTGTATACTTTTATTGTTTCTGTTCAAAGAGAGTCTCATAAAGTTACTGATATTGTTTGCATGAGTTGTGACATAAATAATAACGTATATTTGCTATGGTTTGAACATCTGTCCTCTCTAAAGCCAAGCTGAAACTTGATCTCCAATGTGGCACTGTTGATAGGTGCAGCTTTTAAGAGGTGACTGGGTCATAAGGGCTCTGCTCTGATGACTGGATTAATGGTTAGTTATCAAGTGAGTGGTTCTGGTGGCTTTATAAGAAGAGGAAGAGAGACCTGAGCTGGCATGCTCAGCCCCCTTGCCATGTGATGCCCTGTATCATCTTGGAACTGCATAGAGTCCCCACCAGCAAGAAGGTTCTCGCCAGATACACCCTTTCAACCTTGGACTTCCAAGCCACCAGGACTGTAAAAAGTAAATTTTGTTTCTTATAAATTATCATTTCAGGCATTCTGTTATGACCAACAAAAAATGGACTAAGACAGTATTTACTAGTAGAATTAGTTTATTTGCTTTACAGTCACATAACAATGATCATTAAAAAACCCATCCCTTTTACCACTTGGAACCAAACATCATGAACTTCAATGAATTAGGGTTTGATAGTTCTCTGCAAAGACAGGACTGTAACTCTAACTAGACAAGTCAGTCCCTTTTAAGTGAATCTACCCTGCCACAGCTCCTACAGAAGAGGCAGCCCTATGTAGTTGAGTCAGTCTAGTATAGCGGCTTTTCAGGCAGAAAGACCTGAATGTAAATCCCAACAAATTACAGAGAGGCCAATCCATAGATTGGGACCACAGGAAATTATGGCAGATCCAAGTTGAGAATAAACAGAAACTAAAGAAGCAGAGATGAAGAATAAGTCACTTGGTTAAATGGACCAAAAGAAGCTCATACTGGAGAATAGTTAAATAACATAAATGCCAGTGAGGACCACATTCCTGGTGCTGAAAACCCTGAAGCTACATTCGAGCCTTCTGTAGTCATGTTACTTATCTTTTAATTCTTCTTCTTTTTTTTTTTTTTTTTTTTAAAGAGATGAGGTTTCACTATGTTGCCCAGGCTGGTCTCAAACTCCTGGGATCAAGCAATCCTCCCACCTTGGCCTCCCCAAGTGCTGGAATTACAGGCGTGGACCACCACGCCTTGCCGTTATTTATCTTTTAACTGACTTGTTTCTCTGGCTTCAGTTATGTTCCGGTGAAACTCTGTTTTCATAATTCCATTACCTATAACCATCAAACTCCCCCAGCACTCCATTTAGCGTGGCTTAGCCCAAATAGAGGTTGGAAAATTGTGTGTGAGGGAATGTAAGACTCAAGCATCCACGAGCGTGGGAGTTGCCAGACAAAACTAAGATCATTTCCAACCCCAAAAGGCCACGATTCTAAGTTGTGATCCTACCCAATATTTTCTTCAAGGTAACACAAATCCCTATGAATTTACCAGCACCAAGCAGTAGTTCCTTTTATGGTCCTAAATAAGATCCTTTATACAGGAATGCCCTAGTTCCTATATTCTGAGATTTCACAAACATCCTCATTTAGCTTCATGACTACAAATTTCACAGGTAACTTTTTTTAAGCCTTATTTTCAGAATGTAGAGTCCTTATATTTTTATTATCTTATAACGCCCAAGCCCCCTTGCACCTCTAACCCAGTGGTGTGTTTTACGCTACAGATACTGTACTGCAACATTTCCCGTGCATAAACACCTACCTCTTTCTTTTTTTAAAGGCTGGTATATTGTTCCATTATACAAACGTACCGTAATTAATACTTCACCAGTTCCTACTAATGGACGTTTCCAATTATATTGTTATAATTATTACGTACAATATAATACGTATAATAATTATAATTATTACGTACAATGCTCAGGTCAACAACTTTTTCTATGTGTATCTTTAGCGTATGCAAGAGCAACTAAAATATCACTGGGTCATTTCAAGTTGCTCCTCTTTGAACTGTTTTGAGCTTAGATCTATCTTTAAACAGAAACAAAAACTAGAAAGCACCCAAAACTCTAGTTGCAGATGCAGAAATAGAGTGTGGCACGATGCTAA